GATTCTGGTTTTAGACCCTTTTTTCCAGCTTGTCTCTAGGATTTAGAATTCTGGTCCTCTCCCCCAGCATTGCTTATAACCTCTCAGGCTGATGTTTCATCTTAATTAACCACTTTGCTTATTCATTATCCAGCTGACTGGAATGCTGAATAACCCTTGACCTAAGTCTCTGCAGACGCCGTGTGATATGTCTTTCCATGGTGACAGTGACCCACTGCTAACTCTCGGCAGTGACCCAGCCAGTTCTGTTGGCCTCAGAGCAGTCCCCTTAGTTTGCTAAGACAATGCTGTGCAGCACAGCATCAGAAACCATCCTCAAGTTGATTAAATTTGGCTTTCCCCTACTGGCAAGGCCTGTTACCATGTCACAGAAGGAAACTACACTGGTTTGACTTGATTCTTGACAAATACCTCTTATTTGTAACTCCACTTCTTGTTTTCTGAATGCTTGCAAACTGTCAGTGGAATTACTGCTTTTAAAACATTCTCAGGGATTGATGTGAAACAGGTTTGTGTGTCATTTTCCAGTTTCTCTTCCCCATTTTAAAGATAGTCACTGCATTTACCCTTTTCCATGGCTGGCATAACTCACATCTTCCCTGAGCCTTCAGCAATAATTGCTGATGGTGATTGTTTTACTTTCTTTAAGTATCCCAAGGTAGGTCTACTAATAGGCCTGAGTAAAAAGAGAGGACTAGGCAGACTGAAACCCAGTAGAGTGATCTGTCACAACCCTACAAGCATATGTCACCACAGCAAATTTCTGCTAAATGTTCTTACTTAAAACACGTTCGCTGGTATCAGTTGTGTTAGCCTCCTGCTCACTAGTTCACCATATGGTGGTTGGTAGATCAAATAGGTGCTAAGCCCTGCATCACTTTCTAGGCATCAACTTGATTAACTTTCCCCTTCTGCTGAACAGAGAACAAACTCTTCACTGCGTTTTTGTCTTCCTTACTCCTCATGTGTTTAAAGAATGCTTTCTTGCTATTCCTCATGTTTCTCACCATTTGCATCTGGTTTTGCTTCTTGGCCTCTCTGGGGTTGTGCCTGTATTCTCTTGCCACTCTATTATTCAAGTAATAGTAACCAGACACAGATTCTTCTGTCTCTCTGCTTTCTTCTCCTGTTTGAATTCGGCAAAGAGCTTATGGCCGTGTTAGCAGGCAGTGATTTCGCACTTCATGTTAGTCTGGGATTAACCACCCCTATCTTTGCCATTTGTACCCATGACTTATAATAGTGGAGTTATAAAATCAGAACCTTTGCCTGCACCTTCCTTTCATGCATGTGTATTTAACTCAGGCTTTGACTGTTAGTGATTTTAACTAGGCATATGCATTTTCTTCCTCCACTGCAAAGATGTAACTCTCAATAACTGTAACACTTAAGCATCAATAAGAGATGTTGTGAGGGAGCTGCCAGATGTCTATCCTCACTAATAAATGTCTGGATGTTTCTGATTACATTGGAGGAAACTCTTCTTTTATTAGCAAATGATAATTAGGTATGGATTCTCTGTAGAAAAAGAAGCCAAGGTATAAATATTTCCAGCAGCCCTCTGGGATTCACTGTGATGTTCTTCAGGCAGCAAATGGACTCCTATGAATCTCTTGGAATTTTCTCATTCTTCAAAGTAAATTTAGTACTGGTATCCCTTAGTCATAGTGGTAGGCTATAGTCAATGTAATAGCAAAGCAAGTCATGCGAGTGCTTTCATGCTTCTCTCTTCTTCAGCTTTGCTGGAGGTGATAGAACAACATAGATTTCTGGAATTTTTCCATGCAGACTGGCTCCTGTTCCCTGTGAATTGAGAACTGCATCTTGGACCATACGGTTTAATTGCAAAGAGGAGTTTTTTTCATGCTTCTTAAAGACCACAGCATTTGACGCAAAAACTGGCCTGACTCTGCAGGTGCAATGTCTGATTGTTTTACATTGGCACCAAACAATTTTTAAAAAAGGACATTATTTTAAGCTTAGTAATGTGCTGTAAGACAGAAATAACACCGTCTACCCCATTAGATGGTGCAGAGACATGGCCCTACTGCAGAACCCCTTCACTGTCACAAGTGGGAGCAGGTTCAATGGTGTTGTACTGTCTGGATGGCAGTAGTCCAATTCAGCAAGGACTCCTTCTGTGGTGTTATCACAGTGTAAAGTCTGGATAGTGGGTGGCTGAGCAGTCAGAAAGCAAGACAAAGACAGTCCATCCTCTCACAGAGAGGCTTTATGGAATGCATATACAAATACACAAAACTTTGCTGTGACACCTCTGCTATGGGGACAGGCTGAGAGAGTTGGGCTTGTTCAGCCTGGAGAAGAGAAGGCTCTGGGGAGACCTTAATGCGCCTTTCAGTACTTAAAGGGGGCTAATATAGATAGACTTCTGAGTAGGGTCTGTAGTGATAGGACAAGGGGTAATGGTTTTAAACTAAAGATTTAGACTAGTTATACAGAAGAAACTTTTTACAATGAGGGTGGTGGAACACCGGCACAGGTTGCCCAGAGAGGTGGGAGACACCCCATCTCTGGAAACATTCATGGCCAGGTGGGATGGGGCTCTGAGCAGCCCGATCTAGTTGAAGGTGTCCCTACCATTTAAAAGGTCCCTTCCAACCCAAACTATTCTGTGATTCTATGATTCTATGATAAAGAGACCCTAATAACAAGATAGCACCAAACCATGTGTAGGCATCCTTGGAGTCTTGGCATTCTGATAATGACGTATTTTGGGATGTTCAGTTTCTCTTTATTCCAAATTTTCCCAAATTCTTTGCTCTGATCCCCTTTTATACTTTCTGCAGTTGTTTAAGACAGGTAACACTTCTGATTCCTTCTGTGGTTGCCCTTCCTCCCTGAGCCGTCAAGTTTCTTTCCTTACCTCACTGTGGGTTGTACTGCTTGTTCTACCTACCTCCTGAAAAGACCAAGGAATTATGAAACATCTTTTTACAAAATAGTTACAATTTTAGAAAACACTATAGTGATACCTTGAAAAATTACCAGAACAAACAGTACTTACCCCCTTATCAAAGGTTATTGCCTCTGTAGACAATTTCTTTCTGTCCTTTTCTTGAAGGTCATGTATGAAAAGTACGATATGGCCGTGGGACCATAATGAGGGTATGCACAAGAAACACATATGCCAGGGGGAATGGAAGTGTGAGGTTAGGATTTTGTGCCAGAATTTCCATTTGGTGTTATTTCAAACTGCAGATCAGGGCTAGACTATGTGACCAGCCCTAGATGTGTGTATAGTCAAACCATACAATGTTGTTCCATTATATCCTGCCTCTTAGGGAGCTGCTTCTTTGTCAGGCCTGTGAAGGAACAAAGGAAGTTATGCTGGGCCGTCTCACACAGCCTCACTTCAGGCATCCAACTTCAGAGCTTGGATTAGGAGTCTCAGCTTCTCATAATGTGAGTGGAGCCAGGTTGGTGCACACGTGTGCCCTGACTCACCTCATGAAGACCCCACTGACCGACACCTTCACTCGGACCTTCCACGCCAGGGAAGTTGAGTTGCAGTTGCACTTTGGGCTAAAAGCACGTCATTCCTGTAGGAATGGCTTCCCCTAGTGTGGGCTGCTCTGCCGCAAAGCCCTCTCCTGCATGCACAAGGCAATTCCACTTCGCCAGAAAGGGGGCAAGAGCCTGGAGTCCTTTGAGCTGACTTTTAACTAACCTGGTCCGAAAGCATAAGCATTGAAATGAGGGATGTGAGAGGTAATTCTGAGGAAGCCACAGGAACAAGTAAAATAGAAGCAGAGTAGATTGCTAGCGACAGTTCCTGAAGAAAGCCAGGTGATAAATTGTGTCTCAGACCAGGAGGGCTGGTACCTCCACAGCCTGGCAGGTCACTTATTCCGTACAGACCAGGGAGGCTGGAGCCTGCTCCCTGGTGAGAGGAGGTGGAGCATCCCCCCGAGAGGACAAAGCTGTGCATTGAACAGATAGGCTGCAAGACGGGGCTTTAACCATTCTCTGGGGCAAACAGGTATTGAGAGCCTCTCTCTTTTCCAAAACATATCACCTCCACATTCTGAACTCTTGACTTCAGCCAGGTCCTGAGGGAGAGCCCCTGTGCAGGAGGGCTCATGCTTGAGCTTTGTCAGGACGCAGCCTATTAGCAAAATCCCAGATCAAGTGTTGAGCTTAAAGCGAGCATCCTTAAAATTTTGCTGGGCTGTTAATCATGGTTACCTAGAGGGGTGCTGTGCAGGATGCATATTCCTGGTTGGTTCACGTGCCAATGTTGCTGTTATCCACAAGGCTTCATTTTCACTGTAGTTAAACAAAGCCCATAATGGAGTCTTCCCCAGAGCCCAGGGCACCATCAGCAGGCCCTGGATCTTTATTTTTGCAAGCAAACTTCCGAGTTTTCAACTCACTTGAAACTCCCTGGAACAAAATCTCACTTGTGAGTTACAGATAAAGCAGGGGATGGGACCTGCATATTTCAGCACAGTCCTGTATGGAGTAGAAGCAACAAACACACAAATGGCTTAGGATCCTCTAATGTGGGTGGCAGCAACCAGTGTTCACCAAGGAGAGGACACGGCCTTCAAGGAGCGGAGGCAGAGGAGGAGTACAGCACCCACCATCCACCATGCTGTGGTCCCTTTAAATCTTCTTCTCCACTTGGCAGCTCCAATTTTTCAGTGTTGCTATAGCAGATCTCCATGGCAATGACCCTAATCAGGGAAGGGGGGGATGCAGGGGGGACGCATGCTCAGAGTGGCTGCTGGAGCCTCGCCTGCTCGCTACAGCTGCTCCGAGGGTCTGGCACGCAGGGGAAGGGAAAGCTCAGGTACTTGACAAAGTGGTCCTTGGGGTGCATCGCAAGCCCATGGCTTGTCACTGCAGTGATGTGTGCATGTGGGTTGGTGTGTATGTGTGGGTCCGTGCTCATCACGTCTCATCCACTCCTTTGTGGGGAGCGTGCTGGGAGCAAGCTGCTGATTTTCACTATTTCTCCTCGTTTCAGGCAGGGAAGAAAGCTTGAATTATTGATGAGAGTAATGGCGTTGCCGTCTGTCTGCAGCATGTTGCGTGTGGCGATCCCGTTCATTTCGGTGGTTGTCCTGCTAAGTGTGAGGCTTGTGGGGGCCGGCCAGGACTCCGGGAGTGTTATTCCTGCAGAAAGTAAGTACCTGCCGTGCACACTCGTGCCCTCCCACTGCACCGAGTCCTGCTTGCCTTCCTCCACTTAACCTCCAGCAGCCACACAGACCTTGCGCTCCTGGGGGAGACCTGCATCACCCAACTGGTGAGGGAGTAGCGATGAATTTGTAACATGTCAGCAAAACACAGGAAAACAGTGCCTTTAAAAGCAGCAAGCAAGCAAAGGGTTAGGAGTTCTTTAGGAAAAAATACTAACTGAATACTGGAATTTTAATTAGAGCTTGTTTTAAAGCTCTTTGGTTGTAGGTTTTTTCCATCTGCTCCTTGAGAGTTTTGTTTCCAGATCTGCCACAATACATATGAAGTCCTTGCTAGTCTGGATGTTGTTAGAAGGAAATTTGTGTTTATTTCTGCCAGGGTGTTACATTTTGCTTATTTTAGTATTTGCTTGGAACAACATCTCAAGTTCAACTTTCCTGTAATTACTACAGATTGACAGAGGGGAAGTTGACCCAAGCAGTGTATTTGTAAAGGATATATAGATTTCTGAAATCCTGCTGCTATTCTGCAAACCTCAAAAATAAACATGACAGACCAGCTTGAACACACAGTGGAGCTGGGAGCTGTTGAGTTTGGATCACAGCTCTGTATTGGCTTCCTTTGTCATTTTGAGCAAGTCTCTAGTTAAACCTTCTCAGCTCCAGAATGAAGCAATAGGTCAAAGATACTAGAGGACGGAGTCAATGTTCTCAGGGTGTTTTGGTGACAGGACTCATTAGAAACTTAAAATATCCTCTGGGAGAAAAAAAAAGAAGGAAGGTAATTGCATACAAACGAATCTGTAGTTCTTAGTCGTGCTTATTTAGTATCACAGCTGTCTTTACATTACTAAAATATTTACTACAAGACCTGATTTATTCACTGCATTTTATTCTCCTATAATTCCATTACTGATTTTCAAATATTCTGTGTATTCATCTCTACGGGGCTTAAATGCTGATTTCCCTTCTTTTTCATTATCTTCTTTTTATTAGTACTAGGTTTTTGTCTCAGACCTCATCTCTCTTTTGTGTGTCTGTTATCTAGGCGTGCATTCACAGATTCACAGACTCACAGAGTGGTAGGGGTAGGAAGGGACCTCTATAGATCATGTAGTCCGACTCCCCTGCCAGAGCAGGGTCACCCAGAGTAGATCACACAGGAACAAGTCCAGGCGGCTTTTGAAAGTCTCCAGGGAAGGAGACTCCACCACCTCTCTGGGCAGCCTGTTCCAGTGCTCTGTCACCCTCACAGTGAAGAAGTGTTTCCTCATGTTCAGGTTGAACCTTCTGTTTTCCAGTTTATGGCTATTAATTAATAAGTTTTGTGGGTAGTAGTCCATTTTGTGGCCTTAAGGAGAAAATCACACTTTGAAAGATAAATCATATATGCTTTTTGTGTGTCTAAGTTAGCAGAGGCAAGTCAACACATTTTTGGGAAAAGTATATGGTGATTCCTTGTTCTGCTTGTGTAGTGGAAACTCCCATTTTATCCGTAGAACAATACTCTTGGCCAGGGTGTCTGACCCAGGCTCAAGGAGTTATCTCATAGTTGTGCTGTGGCCAGGCTGCTGAGTCCCCTGAAGAGCCCTTGAGAAAGATTCCTTGTCTTACTCGGAGAGGTGAGAGTGAGGAATGAAGGCCAGGTCAGAGTGGTTCTGTGGCCGGTGTTTCTGCAGAGACATGCTGCTTTGTCCTGAGTAAAGGAGGCTGGTAGCATCTCTACGAATGCATGACGGTGTTTATGTCTGAGGCCAGGCCATCAGCTGATCATGAATTGTAAATTGTTTTCTGCTGCAGAGACAGAGTTCTAAAGCAAGAAGAATCTCAGGTTGCTCCTAATCAGCCACTTGTTGAGAGGATGCTAAAAGTTTATATGGGATTGCAGAACTGATTGGATAAATTCAAGGAAAAGGATCTTAGAAAGAGCTGTTAGATACAGCAGTAGTTCTTCTGGCTCAGGAGGTGCCTCAGCATATTCCTGATGCCTGGAAGGGTGTTTGGGGATACATCTCTCCATACTTGGCCTGTTCTTGTGCTCTTTCATGTGCATCCATTGTTGGCCATGAAGGTCACATCCATAACCATTGTCCATGGACATTCCCTGGCATGGGGACATGACTGTACTAGTGACCTGCTAGGATGGTCTCTGGCACACTTTTGTCCATGACAGGAGGCCATTTGCCTATCTGGAAGACAGAGTTTGATGTTCTAGAGATGAGCTGTCCCATGCTCACCAAGCCACATTCCATCATCTATCAACAGTCCTGGCTAACTGGGGAGGTCCCACTTGACTGGAGGTTAGGAAATGTGAAACCCATCTACAACAAAGGCCAGAAGGAGGATCCAGGGAAATAGAGGCCTGTCAGTCTGACCTCAGAGCCAGGGAAGGT